GAGCGCGCGCCTGTGTATGTATGCATATATTTGCCATGTTCGTATACACAAATTTAAGAATTCCATTAGAGTGGATAAGACTCCTACGGGCCAGAAAGCATTTCTCGAGTAAGGGACTTGAATCGATTTGTTAGACTTCGCCGCGCAGCGCTTCCTGTGTCTGCAGCACTATCGTGTCTATAACTAAACTCTATAGCATTATGTAAAACTACATTCATTTAAACAACATTCTTTTGTATCACGTGAAATACTGCATGTCTACTTTAAGTATATTGATGAAAATTATCACTAAAGGTGAAGAATATAAACTAAACTGCTTTTCATAATTTTGCAAACGAAGGTGTTAACAAATCGATGCCAGCGCTGCGATTAACGGCCGATTTGTAAAGCACATTTCCGAATATTAAGAGCATTACCCCCCTCTACTGGAGTTTACAAACCTGTGTATACGAATACGATGCTTGCAGTACTTATGATGCAGGAATAATCAGGTATTCATTGACGTGTATTGGTGTTGCTTCTTAGATGCACAGATATACATACATATATAACGTGAGTTTATACAGAAACGTGAACAAAAAAATTGTATTGAACATAACGTGAAGTTAGTCAGAAAATCTACTCAGTAAGACGCATGCGCTGCAGCCACGTGTGAACCTGTCTGAACTGAGCGTCATGTTTGCTACTAGTGGAGGATGCCATTTTAATGCCCATGGTGCTGCTCATGGTGGTGTCCTAGTTCGAACGGTATTTTCTCTCTCTTTGCATGTTTATATGTGTATAAAAAAGTTTACATTCTATCTTGACGCGAACTATTAACAAAGGAAAACATGTTCTGGATGCAAGTGAATAATAAGTGAATAATAAGAGAGTGCAAACAACTTTTAAGATCATGTATGACACGTTAACCTGAAATATCTTCCATTGTCTTCTGCTTTTCATTGATTTCACGACTTTTTATCAAATAATTACAGTTTTGTTAAATGTATTTGATAACTGTATCTCATACAATTTCTATATTCATTTACAAATTGCTACTGTTATCGTGCAGTTACGGCATATTTTAAGGAAAACGCGAATTGTTCTTTGAGGATATTATTAAAGTCTACTACTCACTAATCATAGATTTTCCTTATGCACAGGCAAGCAGTTTATCTAATAATAATAATAATTTCGTAAAGCAAATGGCTCGAGTGTTAGTTTACGTGCGGCCCGTTTATGCAATCTCCATTGATATAAAATTGGACAACAAAATGGACGTAAGTACCTTTTGAAACATCATTCGATAAGTGAACTTTGACCGTATTGAATAATATATTTTGTTTCTACAAATCTTGGTTAATATAACATATTAAGCTAATGTTTATGTACCACTTTCTTTAACTATTTCAATATGACAAAGTAAGATTTGCTTCTTTGGCCGTTGTGACGCAAACTTATGATTTGTAATAGAAATGAAATTTAATTGTTGAATTAAAAGGAATTTCCACGATGGTACATAAAATTTTGTATAATGTATCTGTCAATTATAAGACTATTTTGGCCAACGCGCTATGATCTCTTGCGTCTATACTTTATATATTATGGCGCAATAATAATACATGGATTAAAAATATTAAAGTAATGCAGAATGTCTAACATCGATGCAACCGTGCTTATTATTGTTATCAATATAATATTTAATTGCTCCGTTGTAGAGTAATGAGTTTATGCGAATGTGATTATTTTACAATTAAATTTCATTTACATATTTTGTTTTAAATGGAAATATTGAATTACAAATGATTTTCATTAATATGTTAATATTTAGTACACTGATTATGTTTGCCATTTGTGTTATTATTATTTGTTATTCATTTTCCTCGGCTTATAGAATATAAAATTGATATTTATACATATATAAATATGTTTTATGTAATATTAATGTAAATCGCTGTTGTATCGTGAAATGTTATCTATTTATTCGTACGATACCAAGTGAATTAGTAAGAAAGATTAGATTTTCATCATATTAATGCGTCGAAGCATACGAGCGTTGAAACAACGTATGTTGTAAAAGATATATTGCCGTATAATGGATTAATACTCACAGATGTACCAGGAACGTTCATCACTGGGAACGTGCGCTACCTGTTCACTGATGTATTTATATAAATACGGGCATTGGATTCAGCTGAGGCGTTTTGTAACGTATAACTTTAAATAGAGCAGGTCACACAAACGTATCGCTGGTTATTCGTTATCAGTTCGATGAGTACGTATTTTTTATGTATGTCCAGCGATTATTCTATAGCGAATAGTTGTATCGGAATGAAAACTTTTCTATTTTGTGCAAGGATTTTCAGATTTGTTTATTATAAATCATTTGTTATTGCAAAAATCATTTGTATAAATCAAATTATTTACAGTTTTTAACGCACTTCGATATCGATTCAGATTAAAAAGAAATATTATTGGAGTTTTACAACACAACGTCGCGAACGTTCCGTTAAGCATGGTTTACGCCACAGTCAAGAACAATCGCTGTTTTTGAGAACTAGAAATTTAGCGTTTCGACCATCTGCGTGTCAGCACACTGATAGGGCGTGAGTAATTATTCCGCCAGCTCTGCAAAACAGACGACGCTCGTATGCCGTGACTTCTACGTACGTACGAAATGACTGTGAAACGTATGCCCGTTTTAACGCTCGTGTAACCTTATGCCCAGGTTTAAAGCTGTATGCGTTATGAAAAATATTGCTGCTGTGAGTTTATATACAAAATTTTTCCGCACACAGTTATAACGAGGCACAGATACGCGTGTGCGTTTATTCGCGTGTATATATATTCTTATACAAATTGGCAACATAGTGAAAGGGAGGAATTTCTCATATGTCCCTTACTGCCCGAACAGCATCGGGACAGTAGTTCTAGTATAGTCTAGCGTAGAAAATTTGTTGAGCAGCCTGTATAGCTGAAACGTATCGTAATGACGCTACGCATCGACTCTAAAGTCTCGTGAAATGACATCAGTACATCAATATATACTTAATATATACCCAATGGCTTTGCCTACCAATTAAGGAAATAATATTACTTTCTGCATCGATGCAAGCCAATATACACCATAAAAGATCAAAAAACGTTGATGCGTTCATCGTATCAGTGTTTCAGCGTATGTAAGCATCGTTGACAGTCACGTTTTCCTTCTTTTTGACCAGTTACTACCATTGACTGTTTCTCACACCGGTTACTGATCGCGATTGATTCTATAATATTTTCCATCGAATTGGGTACAAATATTGCTACTTTAAACAATTCATGGTGATTTTTGTAAACTTTTTGAGTTGTTTTTTTATATTTTCAAATGATATTGAATTTTTAGAGTTTTGCATGGTGTTTGTTGCTCTGTCGTATATTTCATTTCTCATTTATAATATACAATTTGTTAAACATGTAGAAGAACCGCTCGTTGCTTCGTGCCAATTTGTTACCTGGAAAAATACATTCATGAAATAACGTTAAACAACCATGCTAAAAATATCGTATGCGAATCTGATTTTTCTTACATTTGAATATAATTGAAAGTTGAATATAATCCACTTCACTACACAATAGTTTGAAAATATCGATCGGCCATGTCCTATGATAAATGTTAGGAGTTGAGGAAAACTTTCGTAGCAATTCTAATGAAGCTGTAAATTTACACAAAATTTACATCCTCTCTTCTTATGTATGTAGTATTCTGGATTTGTGCAGTTATGTTTTTCATGTTTTTAATGGTAGAACCTGGCTAACTCATAAACATGGCGTCATAAAGCGTTCTTTCTACTATCTGGTTTTGTAGCTCTATACATAGTTTTCTATCCAACCCATGATATTTATGGCACGATTGGCTTGAATTACGAGGCTAGGACCGTTCCATAGATTTTTCGTTTTTTAGAATGTTACGTTAGGTTTGTATATTTTTTTCAGCCTTCTGACTATGCAATAAGAATAAAAGAAGAGCCAATCGATCCGGAGATCTGCGATGATTTGTCGCCAGTTGATACGAATACAGGGAATGAAAATGAAACAGCGACGTTTAAAGGTAAATCTTCGGATAACGTTTATTCTGAATATGAAGAATCCGCGTTTCCTCAAGAAAGTACGTATCTAAAAAATAAGAAATCGGATCCTGATAAACGAAAAAGTAAACATAAAGTACCTTCAAACAACAGAAGCAGTTGCAACGTTTGTTTGTTAACTTTTCGAACTAAACATTTATTTGATCAGCATAACAAATTATATACCTGTAATGTATTTAAGTGTAATAATTGCACTGCGATTTTCACTATGCATTTTTCCTTGATACGTCATTTAAAGAAACAATGTCGTACGAAACAATTGTCTGGATATAGATGTAATTTTTGTAGCCGAAGGTTTTCCTATAAAAGACATATCCAATCTCATTTATTCCATGCGCATGGGAACGCAATATTTTCTGGTGAAAGCAAAATCACGAAAACATCTCCTGAATCGTTAGGAAAGTCGAATCATTCGGATGGTATAGCCATGGCAGAATCAAATACTTCACACAGTCCCTGCCCAAAAAACGTAGATAGCTCAAAAAATATATCTTTGAAAAAACATCTGCTGAATCGTTAGGAAAGTCGAATCATTCGGATGGTATAGCCATGGCAGAATCAAATACTTCACACAGTCCCTGCCCAAAAAACGTAGATAGCTCAATAAATATACCTTTGATACCATCTAATAGTTTAAACAGTACATCCACCAAGGGTTCGAACAGCGATATCAAGTCTACGCACCCGAAATGGTTAAACGATTCGCATTGTACAAATTCGAAAAGGATGAAGCAGACCGTCCTTACAGACTTCATATCGACGTACAAAAACAAACCGAATGACAAATGGGTTAGCCCGGAAAAAGTTATCGATACGGAGAATATTCCTGTTACTGCGACTATTATTCCAACTTCAACGTTCGACACATTTAGTAACAAGACATCAACGGCTGCAGAAGTTATTCAGATGTCTACTTCTGTTGAGCGAATCGAATCTCCTGTTAGGAAACGACCATTTGTTCAAATTCATGTGAATTTAAAAACAATGATATCTTTATTAAGGAACGAAATAAAAGCTGAACCTGGAAGCTCTAATACCTTGCGCAATACGCCTTACAACCTTAGGTCAGTGAAAAGATGTTTTTCTTCTTTATATGATTTTTACGATTTATTGGAGTTTGAGACCTTTGGAAGATCAAGACAATCTTTTAAAAGAAACAAGTTCCCCTATATATTTGACCAAAGTAGAAGATCTGCACCTGAAGCTAAGTATAAAGAATGCGTGGTCCGTTTGGAGAAATGCGACAAATTCTTGAAGCCTACTAGTTTTGTGTCAGGCCAAGACGAAGACGAAAACTAAAAGAAAAAGGAAAACGAAGACGCTTTCAAGCAAGCAGTATCGAAAAATGTGAAAGAGGAAATTGAAGGTTTTCGTGAAACAAGCTCGACATGTAACTTGCCTTTGAAAGCTGACACGATTGCGTCAAAGCGATTCAATGAAACCTTTCGCTGATAGATTAATCGTACCTCAACAAGAATCGGTTGAATTTCAGAAAAACTTTAAAGTCTATGAGCAGAAAATAATTCAATGTCATATTTGCAAAAAATCGTTTTCTTCGAAGGAGAACCTGCTCGAGCACATGAAATTGTTCCATACGATTTACATTTCGAGCATATGCAACGCGCGTTACACGCCCAGAAATAAGTTACTAACTCATTATCTGCGCCAGCATATTGTGTTTAAACGAAGGGAATGTTGTGTGTGTTATGAGAAGTTTGACACGTCGGCATTGTTGAAGCGACACATGATTTTGCACTGTTTGAAGACTATAAGATCAAAAAAGGACGCTCCACCGGTTGATGTTGAAATAAATTGCAATGCATTCAAGAAACAACACAAATGCAAAGGTTGTCGCAAACGATTTTGGCTATACTCGTGTTTGAAACAACACGAGAATGTATGTCGTCGAATGAAAGTCTTAAGAAATAAACAACGTGTACCTTATGTAAACCACTTGTCTCGGTCCTTGAAAGAACCAAGTGACATGGCACTCGACACAGTCGCCTGATTTGGAACAAATGTCGGACGTTTCGTGTGGGACGACAAGATCTTTGGAAAATTATTTGATTACGAGTACGCTTATTACGGATTATACTTTCTCTTCGTCATTCGGTACATCTGCAAAGCACAGAAGGTTACTTAATGGGATTGCATGCGTAAAGGGTCACCAAGCGGACAAGATGAATAGAACAAAGTTTCCTTGCACTACTTGTGGAACACAATTCTGAACACTTAAAAATTTGTGCATACACGAGCGCACCTATCGCCAAACAGCCACAGAAAAGTGTAACGTTTGTAACACGATGTTTTCCACTAAAAGATTCTTACAGTTTCACATGCTTGCTACTCATGCGCCTTCGTGTTCGGTGAACTACAAATTCTTTTGTAAGTTCTGCGATCAAGGATTTGTCAAGAAACAGAGTCTTCAAATTCACGAACGACACTTACATATTGAGCAAGATTCTAGGCTGGTGATGAATTCCGATTGCGCTGTGGAAGATAAACCAATCTGTAATATATGCCATTTTTATTCGAATCCTACGAACGTTTAGTCGAGCATAACACGTATTATTACAAGGGTAATGATTTTTTATGCGCAATATGTGGTAAGTCGTTTCAAGGAATGTACAAGTTTTATCATCACAACAAGTTGGAGCATTATCCGGACGAACCATCGAAATTGTACCCTTACAAATGCGATACTTGTAACGAAGGCTTCAACTACCAATCACATCTCCACGCACATAAGCTACACGTTCATTCGCACGATTCGCCCGCTGACAAGGCGCGCGACCGCGATACATCGAATCAGACTTTTCGCATGTGTTCATAATTCTTTGGGTAAATTAAGATAATCATAAAATAAAAGCATAGAGAATATTTAATTCTTCGATTTATAGGTCGTTTGAAAATCAATTTTCACGGTACTATACTAAAGAATCGGCCTAGATTGAGACGTACAATAAACACGCCAAGAACACACACACATACGAAGCAAATGATTTCAAAGTGTCCTTCAAGTCATGTATTCGCATTTTCCATGACACGCATGAAATGTATCGAAATTTGTTGAAATATACTTTACAAGACAAATCAACGCTTCTGACCTAGTTGTTTAGTCGAGCATGACACGTATTATTACAAGGGCAATGATTTTTTATGCGTAATATGTGGTAAATTGTTTCAAGGAATGTACAAGTTGGAGCATTATCCGGACGAATCATGGAAATTGTACCCTTACAAATGCGATACTTGTAACGAAGGCTTCAACTACCAAGCACATCTCCACGCGCATAAGCTACACGTTCATTCGCACGATTCGCCCGCTGACAAGGCGCGCGACCGCGATACATCGAATCAGACTTTTCGCATGTGTTCATAATTCTTTGGGTAAATTAAGATAATCATAAAATAAAAGCATAGAGAATATTTAATTCTTCGATTTATAGGTCGTTTGAAAATCAATTTTTATACTGAAGAATCGGGCTAGATTGAGACGTACAATAAACACGCCAAGTACACACACACATATACGAAGCAAATGATTTCAAAGTGTTCTTTAAGTCATGTATTCGCATTTTCCATGACACGCATGAAATGTATCGATATTTGTTGAAATATACTATACAAGACAAATCGACGCTTCTGACTTAGTACGAACTGCGCTCGGCTCAAACATCGAACATTGAGTGAAGTTTGGGTGTCAGTCTTAGGCGCTTCCTGTTCATTGTTTGCGATGGTCTCAGTTTGTTGAAGCAGAATATGTCAAGCATTCTAGGCTAGACGACCAGCCAGAAAACGAGCGAACTAGATATTCCATTCTGTCTCTAACTTTATTTAATATACATCGTTTTGTTCACATAAGAGATAAAGAGATCTAATCGCGTTATCGTATCGTTTACTAAGTGCCGATTGAAGCAACTTAATGAAAATTATGATAAATCGAGTAATAAATTTGTCTGCTTTTTCTTTGAACGCGTTATATTTATGTGCTGTCATATACGTATATGTTTCTGTGTGTGTGTGCGCGCGAGCGTGTGCATGCGTGCGTACGTGTGTATTTTATCAAGTACGTTGATCGCTACTCCATTTCATTATTGTAAAAGTTTTTGTTAAAGGGAGTTTTTCGTTCGACGTGCGCGTTTGCGGATCTTCATATTTTATAAATTATTTTTGGTCAGCGTAAATGTTTGAAGAAGTCAGAAAATAAATGAAGCGAGGGTAAGTAAATGTTGCAATTTCTTTTCTTAATTGATCTGATATTGGTCATTTTTCTTCTATTGCAATGTTTATTCGCTATGATTATTCGTTTAAACGTCCGCTCGATATAATAATTACAACATCCGTTAAAAAATGGATAAACCTATTATTGAATTTGATATTGAGATTTTAAAAAAATTCATTTCGTTTATCACACGTGGAATGATTATATGATATATTTCATATTTGACAGACGACTAATTTAAATATGGATCGTAATTACAATTTTCATTGTGAGATGATGTATTTACTTACCCAGCTATCGATTAATGACGTCGAATGATAATTGTACGGGAACGATAATGCTTTGTAATGTGCAATTTTAATTTTACGTTAAATATTAAGTAAATAAATATTTCAATTTCCATCACAGTGCCGGTCGTACAATACGATAATCGGGAGGAACATGAGACCAAGAACGATATGTATCGCTATGAAAGCGCGAATGAAAATTGTCGTATTAGAATTTCTATAAAGACATAAGAATTGACGTTTATATCACAGAATAATTGCAGCGTGTTATCGAATAGATTGGTTGTTTCACAGCGGGAAAATGAACTATTTTTACGAGCTTTCACCGGTTCTGCCGTACAACGAAACGAACAGTTGAGCAGTTATAAGAGCTAACGTTTGTATTTTCTAAAACTTAGAAAGCTTGTAAACTTAATAGATTGTTCGGGAAATTTGTAGATTTTAGTAGTACGATGTGTACTGTTTCTAAAAGTGTAGGTATTCTTTAATAAATTACATTTTCCAGAAAATAATGTAAACTCTTTCCCCGTGTAAACTACGATAGTCGTACAACCTTTGTTGCTGTACGAACCAACACTCTTGCATTCGGAACGTTGTGTATGACTCGCCTTAATTAAAAGACGCGACATGAAGTTAATATTATGTCTTTGTATACTCGGGACTCGAAATAGGGTGAACTTGAATACAGCACTTTGATTCGAGACGTTTTGTACAAGCAACGTTAATTAGAAGATTGAAGCTACGTTTTTGTTGAATCATCAACGAGAAAATAACGACGTATTTGTCGGGTTATGCTGTTCCATCCTTTTCTCACCGTGATGATCGATCAGCAGTGACTGCGCTAAAACAAATCCTCTCTATGGAAACATGAAGCGTCTTTGTGTCAGAAGAAATACAATTTTACAGATTCTGCCAATAACCAGGATTTAGAAATTTAAACCGAAGCTTCTATCGAATTTAATCTGAAGTATGTTAAGATGGATCGTTCGAGTGGAAAAGAAGAAAAGAAAAATACATCGAATTAGAGGAATTCCAAAGAGAACTCCACCAGCTATAATCTCGAGTAAAGTTTCATCGGTGTGGTAACTTATGCAAAGTTGTTCAATGCAACTTTTGTGGTAACTTATGCAATGTTGCCGAAGATCACCTAAAGTGAAACACGAACGAAAAGTAGAGAAAACATTTTACTACATTATAGATTTTAATGGTAAAATAGAAAGCACTTTCAAGAAAAATGGACCTTTGCCCAATACATATCCTATGGTAAAGAAAATTTTAATAAAATCCAGAGGTGTCCGATCAAAATTAGGGTGAGAGAGAGGCTAGTGTTACGTTTTGTCTGGCTCGTTTTGGTTGCGTTGCCGTTAATTTTTGAATTTAGATTAAATTATAGTATTGTCTGTTATTTAATGCGATTTGAAATTAAACTCCACGTTTCGGCTAACCTGCTATGCGCAGGAGTACTGGCACGGGAGGGGATTAAAGTTGGTGAAAATAAATGTTCGCTTAATCCTGCTATATTATTAGACAAATATTCTTCACAAAAAAATGTTTATTCGTATTCTAATTGGATATTGACAGAATAGTCGTTGAAATTTCGAATGCTCGAAGTTACGATCGTTCGCAATACGTTTCGCTCTTATTAATTACAAGATTTTAATTTTGATAGATTTTCGATAGTTTACAAATTGACAAATACAAACACGTCGATTAACAAGATCAACAAGAATTGGAAACTATTAAAACAAAGAACTAAAAGCTAAAGAACTAAAGGACTAAAGAACCTAAAAGCTGAGAGCAAAACTAAGAGCTAAAGGAATTAAGAGCTGAAAACTAAGGAATTGAAGAATTATAAAACAAAGGAATTGAGAAATTAAGAGCTAGAGGAATTAAGAATTAATCGCTATGAACAAGAAA